TCATAGTCGAGCCTTTCAGTCTCTGAAATCCATGCATTTGTGATGGTACCGGTCCTCATCAGCAACAGTCGAAATCAGGGCCCCCTATCGGGGTACATGACGTGATCCTGCAGCTCTCGCCGGCGGCGGACAGCACACATCACAAGCCCTCATTCCACAACCAACGCATGGGACCAGAGGAGGGCCGGTAATGGGGGCTCTGAGGCCACACTTAGTGCACTTGTCCCGCCCGTCGTCTCCCCTGATTGATTCAGGAAGAAGACCGCCATCTCCTGGCCTACCGGCCCCGTTGACACTGTAGCCATGACACGGACTCGCTCCAGGGTTACTGGCATGCCCAATGCTTGCAGGGTAACCTGGAGCAACGCTTTGCTGGCTAACGCCGGCCCTGACGCCTTGATTGCAGACGCCACCCCCAAAGGCTGGACCATAGAAACTCGAACCACATTGATTGTTCTCAGCTCCATGAGAGTCAGCAGCAGTGCCATAGAACCCGGACGCTCCACCAGGTCCAGCGGGACCTTGGCCTCCGCCGGGATGTCCAGGTCTTGGCGGTGGAAATGGAGCAGGTCCATGACCACCGCTTCCGCCTCCACCTTGGCCGGATGGTCCGCCTGGCCCACCTCCTCCCCCGGGAGGAGGAGGAGGGGGCGGTCCAGCGTCAGCGCGCTCATGCCGTTTATTGCAACGCGCACACCGTTCAAGGCAGTCACTGCCAAAATAAATGTGATCCTCACATACATTATTTCCGCAATCAGAGCAGAGATACATTGAAACCTCCTGAGCATTCTTGCGACATGCCCAACATTTAAGCTTCAAGAAGTGACAATTGCAACAATCTCCATCTTCACCCTCGCACAGCCTGCAAACTCACGACTGCATGTAACACGCGTGAATTCAGCATTGGGATGCCTACGATCATTTGGATCGTCGAGAGCACAGATCTTCGGCGCATCTGGCCCGCCGGTACCAGGCGTACCTCTCGCAGGTGGTGCCGAGGCCTGTCCACGATCGGATGGAGTTCCCAGCTATCGCCGGGACTCTGGACAGCGACATGAGCTGTGCTCTGCTCCCGGGAGTCCTCCAGCTATCGCCGGGACTCTGGGTGTCGGCATGGGCCCTACTAACCCTACCACCTCCAGAATTACGGTTTGGGGTCGGAGAGACACTCCCGCTATCGCGGATCGGTCTGTCTGGGTTCGGAGAAATGCTCCCGCTATCGCGGATTGTCCTTTCCCCCCTCGATTGCCGATTCCGGATATCAGATCCCCTATCGGGGACGGCAGCAGGCCTCGGGCTCCTGTTTCTACCCACATCCCGGTTTGGAGATCTCCGGCGGGGAATGTGACCTGTCAGGCAGTCCCCGATCTCTCCTGCTTCTGCTGTCTGCCCTTTCCCTATCGGGATGAATGGGATGCCTGTCCGCACGAGAAGGATCGACCCTATCGGGCACAGTCGGCAACGCTTGGCCAGACAAGCCAACACCCCCGCCCGGCCTTGCTGGAAGATCAGTACCCCGACCATTTCCCTCGCCAGGAGTGGGCGTCGGTGACCTGATTCTGTGTCCCTGTCCAGCAAATGCGTTGTACCCAAGATTCCGCCTCTCTCTGGGTCCTTGAGGGCTCTCCTGAATCTGCTGGACACCCTGAATAATGTCAGCAGCCTCATCTACATGACCCTCAATATCAGAAAGCTGGGCCATGATTCTGTTGTTCATTCCATTCAGAGTACGCATGTTACTCTCAACAGTAGTGATCCTCCGCATTGCGGCTTCCTGCGAGTTGCGAAATGAATCCAGCTCGCGCCTAACGGCGGACCGTGCTTGATCACTACTCGCCGGGAGGTTACGAATCTGTCTCCTGATATCATCAAGAACTTGAGAATTCCCGAGCTTGCCTCGTACTGCTCAACACGGGACTTCACGGTCTCAAACCTCGCAATGACATCGTCGTGATCCCGACGTTGACGTTGAACTCCGCGAGATAGATCCTGGGTCTTCTGATGGACCTCGTCAATCGCTTCATGCCAGTCCTGCGGGGAATCAGGCCCTGACGGTCTATCGACCGCCTGGGACCCCCTTCCGCTCTGCAACCTTGACATTCGATCAGCAAGAATAATCAGTTCTTCATTGATACCACCAATAGATTCGGAGGCCCACTTAGCAAACTTCTCGTGTTCAACGAGGATCTTCTCGAGCTTCAGGTTTAGTTCCCTGAAATTCGCGTTCGCCCCACTGCTGGCAGCCCTATCGGGCAATTGCGCAGTCAGATCACCTGCCGGCATCCGCAGCCCGACGGTCTTCTCTACCTTGAAGATTCGCGTCTCGATCTTGTCTAAATCCTTAAGGATCTCATCCTCAGAGGCAGCATGACTCCTGCGGATGGCCTGATGATTTTCCTGAATGACCTGACGAAGTTGGCTAGTTGCGATTTCATTGTCCTTAACGGATTCATGAACTTTGTGGGAAAGCAGGTTGATCCTCTGATCCACAATCTCAGCCTGTTCATTGATGGCTTGCCTCACAAGGCCTTGCTGTCAGGGATAACTTCGCTGGCAAACCGCTGAACTATCATTCGCATCCTATCGGCATCAGACTGAGTCGCAATCTCAGTAGCCAAACGATTGACCCTGTCCTTCGTCTGCTGATTCTCGTCGCTCCACTCCTTTCGCATTGAACCCACCTGACCGTTCAGTAACCTGATTTGGTCAGCAAAGATATGGAACGCTTTCGCGACTTGAACCAGACACCTCACCCCTCTCGAGCATCTCCTGGATGTGCAAATCAAACACCTCCTTTGCCCTTGCGTCACCAGACTCACCGGAAGAATGGGATCTGAGGGCTGGAGGAGTCGATATCTCGATCCTCTCAGGAGCCCCACTAGCTCTGGCATATCTTCTGGGGTTGCCTACAGGACTACCATCAATCCTGGATGGTCTAATCGCCAGATCGGGGATCAATATTGGATGCACGAGACTCAGGAGTAGAGTGGATATGAACATCAGCAGGATCGAACCGAACATTTCCTCATCCTGTGAGTTGAACCTAACGGTGAAGGGCTAGCCCTCCTCGCCTTTGATCTATCGGTCTCAATGGCCAGGGGTGACGGCCTCTTCGCGGAAGCACTACGTTCCCTGGCGGTCGATCCCCATTGAGGTGTGAACTCGTTGCTAGACCTTAGCGTTTCAAGGTCGCTGGGATCTCGCCCTAACGGGCTAGCGATCGACGGACGATCTTCGATTCCAAGTGCATCGGCAAGCCGACCATCTCCAGCACCTGCCCCAACGACATCGGCAGCCCGTTCAGTGATCCTCGGCGAACCAGTACCCCGGTTCGAGTCCCCGTCCCTCTGATTCAACGGACCTCCAAAAGTAATGTTGGGAAAAGGGGGAACATTCGGGGTATCACCAACCACTGGAGGACCTATATCGGTCCCTCCCGGTCATGGATGGCCTCCAATCCTCGAAGAACTTCCCGGCTCTCTCTCTCTCTCTCGCTTCGGGCGTCCCTATCAACACGAAGGTCCCTGGCGGCTCCACGAGAGGGGCTCCTGGGCCTCGCAGCAGCACGGCTCCTTGCATTTCGGCGTGATTGGTTCTCTTCCTCATCACGACGATCCGCAAATGCGGCGTAATCTTCATCATCATTAAACTCAAACTGGGCAGCGGCAGGGCTGGGCCTTGCAGCAGCACGGTTTCCCGCATTTCGGCACGAATGGTCCTCCTCCTCATCCACAAAATTGTCATCTTCGCCATTCTCAAACTCAGACTTGGCAGTATTAGGGTTGGGCCTATCGGCATCAGACCCCTGCTTTGAGCTACTGCCCCAGCCTGCGGTTGATTTCAACAGAGCATCGTATCCGAAGCCTGTGAATTTCCGCTCCTCGTGCTCATCAAACTGACCTGGATTTTGGGAACCAGTGGATCGACCCGAGATATCTCTCGGAGCCAAAACCATAGTCCCTGGTCTTTGCGGCCTGTCCTCAAACGCATCCGAGACCTGCGATTCACCTGGAACGAGAGATCTCGGGGGTCGGGTCGGCATGTCCTCCGGGTCGTCCGAATGAGGGCGGGCCATGTTCATCGCCATGCTGATGAAGTCAAACTGTCCGCGCCTTCGTCGGTGTACCTGCCACGGCTCCTGGGTGTGTCCCTACCGGGATCTTCACCCCTGCGGTCCTGATCTGTCGAACCTGCTTCGAAATCCTCGTAGTCGTAGTCCGGTAGGTCCTCACCTGAGCGGAGGCCCCCTAGGATGGCCTCCTCATCCACGACACTCCTGTGTGATCGTGGGGTCGACATAGAGCTTGTAGTTGATGGTCTCAAGCGCGTAGGAAAGTCCTACGGCTGATAACCTGTGATTCGGGCACGAGCCTGTGCCCAGGCAATGGGTAAGTTGGGGTAAACAAGCCACAAAAGAAAGGTTCCCCAAAAGCAAACCAATCCCCGGTCCCAAAGATCAGGGTTTCCCACACACCAGAGAACAACAACCAAAGGGAAACAAACCAAAAGAGAAAAGGGTTAACCCGCAACCTTGGTCGACAACAGGCCGCACGACTGGTCCCTACCAACCTGGCGGCGGCCCGAGGTCTCTTTCTCCCCCGAGATGCCGTCGGTCGACGCAGGGGTTCGGCGACGCCCATTCGAGGCGCGACGGAACCCGTAAACTTGAGCCAAAACACCACAGGTCGGTCACTACCGCGACGTCCCTGATGATGATATTAACCATGGCTAATCACAGTTTGTACAACATGTTGCAAGTCATCTGACTCATGTAACCTCTGGGCCATAAATGTCATCGTGATAATTGACTGTTATACCCTAAAATGGCAGTCAGTGAACTGTATTGATGAAATTTCACGAGAATCAGGTAGAGGACTGGGGACTATGGAAGTGCGTGTTTTTGCTTATTTGGAACAGTTCCCAGAGTCCCCACCCGCTATTGTCTTTTATTGACTAAGTTTCTGATGGCACAGGACAACATTGCCTATTGAATTCTATGGCTAGGCAAGGGAGTAAGCATTGACCTCTCCAAGTGACTGCTCATCCTCGAAGCGCCCGCCGTAAATGGACACTCCCCCAGTTCCGTCACCTCTGGTGGTGTCGCCACCTTGCACCATGAAGCCTGGAATAATTCCTCAGGCACTCTGGAATCCGATCTCTCACAGGAAGCCAGGAGCTGTTCGACCGACCATTCTTGAAGTATGCCGGCCAAGTTGCGGTGAAAGGGCGAGCCCTTGTAGCACAGTGGTGGCCCTTTGTCACACCTCGAGTAAATCCAGCGCCAGGGAGATGCAAATCACCCATGCCTACACCGTGCTGCCAAGCGACTTGCACATGGTCTCAAAGTTTGCCACAGTCTTTGGCACGTGCTCTCCTAGATCTGCAGAACGACAAATCAAGGTGTGCAGACCAGTTCAGTCGCAGAGCAAGGGAAATGCTTGCTGCTGGCTCGTCACACTCTCTGCCGCTCAGAAGCCATACAGCCCAAAGATTATCCTGGACAGATGGACGGATGGCAACTCGCTTGCCATGCAACGGCTTGTCGGAAAGCAACATCGTCCGAAGCGTCCTCCCCGTCTCTTTCCCTCCGATGCTGACATCGAAGAAGGCGCGGCTTGTGACTTTCGGGGTGACGCTAGCCTCAGATGGTCCTTTGGCACCGAGACTTTCGGTACCGCTTCCAGTCACGTCGACTTGCGCTTAATTGCAGCCCGGCGGCTGCGCCCATGGCTCCAGGCAAGTTCCAAAGATGCGCAATGCGATGGCATGGAACTTAGTTTGCTCAGTCCGAGCTGTTCAATGCTACGAGACCTTCTTGTTGCAAACAGCATCAAGCGGCATGTACGGCTTAATCCAGAATGGTCGGCATGCTCAGACATTTCCACGATTTGTATGCCAATTTCGCATGGCAAATTCAGCTCCCACCCCGGCCTTTGTGTGATTGCGTGCCCGAATTTTGTCCACCTGGCCAATGCAGACCTCTCTTGGCATTTGCCAAACGTGTGCACCTCTGTCTGGGACTTGGCATCGTCCAGCTCTTCGCTCGTCTCCATGACCTCCATCATGGTGCTGGCATCCTGGGAATGTCTGGAAGCCGTCTGAAACTTTGCAAAGCCTTGAGATTTAAACTTCGCGCTGTCCTCGATGCGCTGCTCCTCAAGAAGGATCTTCTGGCCGTGCAGCCTCGGCTTGCGGCAGGCCCGAGGCCCGCAGTTGATGGGCATGCACCATGAAACAGATTTGATAGGCAGGCATGGCATGTCGGCATTCTGACTGGGGGCAATGCTCCATCCAGTACTGTGCCCGCCGCAACGGCGATCTGACTTGAGCATTGCCACACACCCACACACACACACACACATTGCAAGCAATTCTCCGGCGCACACAAGAAGAATCTGCTCATTTGTCTGAACTCGCGTTGAACAGAGAGAAACGAAAGCAACCAGCCAATGGCCTCAGCACGGCGACCTGGGTCAAGCGGTAAGAAGCGCCATGATATCTGACTCCCCCTTCCAGTGCCTCAGCCCCCAACTGCCTCATTGGCTCGAGCAGAGTGCGCTTCTGCCAGACTCCGCTGCTCCTGTAACTTCCCGGCTGACGGCCAATGTCATGAGACAGTCTTTTCTTGCTGGAAGCCTCTCTTCCCCGGCCAATGTCAATCAGAAACTGGCTGGCAGCGGGTTTTGCTGTTGAGCAAACTGTTTCCGCGCCGTCCTCCGACTGTGTCGCATGCCGATCTGGATGAAGCAATTTCTGCAAGTCCTGGGCTGCCAGACGTCAATCAAAAGAGCGACAATTCCGACAAGGGCGGTGGAAGGCCGAAGCCGAGCGGCACTTCCAGTAACAAGTTCCCTGGGTGGCCAGAATGGATTGCGCGGTCTGGCTCCGAATGAATAGCAGAACCTTGTGTGTTAAAGCTATGACAGGAACAAACTCGCAGACTGATTTTGGTCCCAAGCAACCTGAAGGAGCACCTTTTTTTTGCACATCGCAGCATCGTGTCCGGCCAGGCGTTGTGGCCACACATGTTGCAATCAGCGCTGTTAGCACGCTTGCTCTCCTTCTCCCTTCTTCTTGTTCTTCTTTTTGTGGCATTGTTTTTGTTCTCTCTAGTTGCTCCTTCTTGGCCTTCGTTGATCTGCGGGGCCGCTCCTTTCGCGAGGCTGGCACATCGCGAAGGCCATCTGACCAATCACTCAAAATGTCAGAGATGGGCTGCGGTGGCTCACGATCACGGGCAACGAGGCACGCAGCGTCAGCCTCAAAGCCAGTGGCCGCACGCGGCGCAACCGAAGCCACCGAAGCCTGGCGCTTTCGCCGGATCGCCAGGGTCTGCCGGCTCTTCGGGGCTTGGCTTTGGCAAACATAGCATGTCAAACAAGTGCTGGCACATGAGCTGAAACGCAGCTCAGCTTCTCAAGAGTACCAGGACAGATTGCGAAACCCAAAGCTGCAACAAAGTCGAACTGGTGGCAAACAGCTGTAACACATTCGACCAAATAACCAATAGGCTGCCAAAAACCCACAAGGCCATTTGTACTAGAATACAACATACCCTAAATAAAGCTATAGAGCTTGTTGCCTCTAAACATTTTTTAATTCCCGGGCGATTCCAATACTTGGCTCCATTGCCAGCTTCCCTTTATGATGCCAACCCAAAATCGTGGAGTCCTTTTTTTATTATGATTTCTTATGAAGCCTTTTAAAAACATGCAAAAACCATTAGAAACTGGGTACCCCCACAGAGACATTCGCACTACACAAACCATACCCTAAATTAAGCTAATGATCTGGGTCACTTTCTGGAACTGCATCCAAAAAAAAACTAAACTATTCGAATGTAGGAATCCAACTCCAAAGAGGGTCACTTCGAATATTGAAACATATCGAACTTTCTTATCCAGAAGAGTTGAGCGGGGCATATTTATTCATCTGAGGTGGACATTTCTACACGCACGTACTTCCTGAGGAGAGACTCAAGCGAGTTGAGAAGACAGGCAAACCCGCCTCCAGGGTTTGACGCTTCAGACCCCGAAATCTCCTCTATCCACTGCCAGCTTGAGTTGATGTCCAGCACGGCCTTGTAGAGCAGGACAACTCGGTCATTCAGGCCTTCGTTTTGCGTGTGGCGCTCGATCTGATCCAATGTGGCCCAATGTGGCCATCTCCTCTCGAGATCTTGCTTGCAGTAGGCGCGCCACTTTCCACCGAGATTTGCATCGGCGCCAGGGCCACCAATGACTGGAATGGCACGCTGGCGGGAGTGGCCATCATACAGCTGCAAGAACTTCTCCTTTGCCAGGCAAGCCACTCATCCAAATATATCCAAATATGCCACTCGTGTTGCGCCAACGGCTCTGGAAATTCGTGCCTGGTCAGATCCAACAAGCTGTGCAGCTGTGCTGCGCCTGCCTCCGAAGCTGGTAGGGCCCAGTCCGTGCGCGCAAGTGGGGGGAAGACCAGTCGAAAGAGCGACAGCGACAAGGCTCTCAAGCCTGAAAGCCTGAAGCGGTCACAGCTTGCTGATGCAGTGGACACCTTGGCAGCCAGGGAAAGCCCTTGAGATCTCCTCAAGCACTCGCTCGGCTCGAGATTCTCCGAGCAAGCCACGAAGATCCAGGATGGACCTCCGGAGCTGTACAGCTTGGCCGCCAATGTGCTCGGCAGTGGATTCAGCCGAGGCTAGCCGCTGGTGGTGGCAACGAAAATGTTCTTGCACGCAAACTCTTTGAGTACCGCGCGGAGAAGCTCCGTTTGCTGACTCTCCTGCCAAACAGACTCGAAAATATCGTGGTGAAGTCGTCTTTCGGCCATTGCTTCAAGCGTTGTGCCGCAAAAAAATGTGCGAACCTTGAAGATCGGCTGATGTGCAGCCCTGGGCTGTGTGATCACATTCTCTGTTTTGACCCCTATTCGAGGCAGCTCGGAGCAAACGAGTGCGATAATATTGTCAGTCTGCCTGTTGAACACACGACAGAGGCGATGCTTGTGCACGCGCATCCTTGTACGCGCCATCCACCTTCATTGGGTTGACCTGCGCAATACGTTTAGTGACCAAATTGCAGATTAAGACTTGGTCAATGGCTGGGGTATGGAACAGCAGCGGCAAAAGGATAATGCTAAGACATCCAACCAATTCACACGCCTCGAACTCCTTCTGTAAACCTCGGCACTGGAATGTCCCCTGAGAGCATGTGTTCAAGCGTGCAGTGAAGGCATGGATTACCTGGATGCACTATCGAAGTAATATTCACGGCCATAAATCACAAAAACTACGGAGTCAGGGTGGCCATGATCTGGAAGCTATGCGCAGTGAAAATGTCTTTGCGGTTGTATTTTACAGAATTCCCCGATGTCCAATGGGGCTCCACCGAGAATTCTGATTTCAACTCTGGAAGCAAGTGCATTTGCTTCCGTTTTCCAAGTTCTCAGGGGCCCAAGCCCAGAAGCTCAAAGTGAGTGAAGGTCCCGGACACGTCCCGAAGCCGACCACAGCTCCTGTCCGACTTCTGATCGGATCTCTCTCAGTCTCTCTCAGTCTCTCTCATCCCTAGCCCTCCCGACTCCCGGCGGCCCAAAACCTGACACCGTCTGTCCTGCAGAGCATGGGGGCCATGCCCGGCGCGCCGCAGGCTGGGCACACGGCACTCGCCTGGGGCCGAGCAAATGACCTCTGGCCTGTCTCCTAGGACTATCTTTTCGATGTTGAAAGGAAGCCAAAAAGAAATACTACCTTCTGCACGGCGCAGTTTGAATGAGGTCAAAGCTAGCACGCACACCCAATCTCTTGTAGAAGTTGACAAAGACTGGCAAGGCTCAATCGATTCCAGGGCTTTTGTGCACAGGTGATTGACGTGCCCGCAAGTCTTCTTGGCATTTTCAGGGTGTTTGCTTTGTCATGGTTCTTGCAGTTTTCGGGCCTTCGAGTCATGAGTCCAAGAGCATGTTGGTAGCTCTAATCTGCGGCGCACTTGACGCACGTCCAGCATCTAGACGCAGCTCTGTGCCAAGTGATTCTTTGCTTTCTCGCAATCGCCGTCATCTCTTCTCCAAGTGACGCATCTAAGTGCGTCGCCGCGCAGAAACGCGGGCCGCGCAGCGGTCCTTAGCGGAAGCTCGGCGAAGCTCGCTCTGGGACGCTCTAAGAGCCCCAGCTGAGCTTGCAGCGTGCCAGGCTGATCGCGCGACTGATGCCTCACGGAGCGACAAGAGTCGGCAGCGAGCACAGCCGGAAAAGCGTCTTTCAGGACGGGTCTGAGCGTATAGAAAAGTGCTTGGTGGGCTCATGCCCATGAATTTCCAAGCCCTTGCAATGCTTGCAATGACTCCCAGCAATGCCCAATGAATGAGCAAATATTCAACCGTGGCACAAATGTTGCAGTTCGCCCTCGTACATTTTTGTGGGCTCCGCTTCTGGCTCAGCGGTACAGGCTGCAGGCACTCAGGGTTTGCCATACCGTATCATTGTGCTTACGCCACCACGTTGCCACCTTGCGCGCGTGTTGTTTTTGCTTATGCTCAGGTCGATATATCACGCTGGTATTTGTGAGATACTAGAGGGCGATCGGGTGTCTGGCTGCAAGTGAAACTCCAATGGGGTTCACTATGACGTCTAATGCAGATATGAGTTGCTTCTGTGAATGAGTCTGCTTCATGATCTGATGCAAGCAAATCACTGCGGCGCTTCTTCACTCCATATTCAGTTTCTTTTGAAAAAGGCCTCCTCTTTTAAATCAGCAGCTTGGCAGACTCAAACAATTCGCTGCACATCACGACATCCCCTTCAGCCTTTTTAGGTTATGTGAACCCTGAAGAGCGTGACCGCTTCTCAGCATGTTCAAGTCTGTGCCCCATGTCACGGTGCCGTCGCCCGTGGCAAATGCAGACGAGCAAGTGACATCATCGCATGGTGCAGATCTTGAAAGAGCGTGTCAGACTCCCAGGACAAGAAGCGCCTTGAGCATGCGATCCTTCCCATCCAAAAGAGTCAAGGAAGCTTCAGCTAACAAAGGCCAAGTAAAACCGACGAACAAGGGAAGCATGAAGCCGAAGGCACCATCCTGGGCGTCACAAGCATCACGCTTGCGCCCTGCCTGGCAATCGACGTCGGACTGTCGGCCCTGCCAATGCCGTCCCAACAGCTCTGCCAGAAGCCGACTGAAATGCTGGGATGCCGGCACATCGCTCTCGGGGTGAGCACTCTATGCAGGCTTCTGAATCACAATATGTTCTCTCGAACAGCCACAGGTGCAAAACATATCAAAACATCGCATTGCATCGCATTGCTGTGCCTTCTTTGACAAATTGCGTTGCTTGAGTCATTGAGAGAGCGGTTAGACAGCGGCTTTCCGGGCGGCGAAACTGCAACAAGCACCGAGGGCCATTCTCCAGACGCGGCAAGGACCTCAAGAGCTTTTGGTCTCAAAACAAGCTATAGTACATCCGTTTGACAGCGCAAAGCCATCGAAACACCCGGATGTTCCGGATCTAGGTGAAACCTTGATTCTATTGCTTTTAGCCGGCCATGCAGTGTTACTAGGCGTTTGCTTAGAAATCCCAAGGCTATTCCGCCTTTTTGCTTACTTGATGCCTATTGCGGGAACTTGGCTCGTGGAGTCGTGGCCTGGCTGCACCTTTGAGCTCAGCCGTGAAACACTGAAGCCGAGGCTTCGATTAGCGGCTGCCTGAAGAAGGAGGAATGAATCAATGAGTCGAAGCTTGATTCGAGGCTTGCCATGCTCTTAGCGTTGATAAATCAAGCGCTTGTCCCAAAGCCCCGTGTGTGTCACAGTGTCTATCTCCGGGTTGTCTGGTTTCTACGTCCGTCCTGACTTGGATTTTCATCTTGAGTGTATTCATTAGACCAAATTGGCAACCCTTTCCTCACTTTGCTTTCTTGGGTACTCAGATTGGTCCACATCGGATTCTTGTTCATGTGCTAATTTTGCTCAAGCTTAAAAAAGGTTCCTCTCAGGGCTCGAGAGGGTGTCTCGATGCAGCTTACCTGGCCTAGCACGCAGTACAAGTCCCTTTGACCATGTAGACCACATAGCTCCCACATGCCCACCCGCCCCCTTTTGGCCTTCTGCCCTGCGGGCAAAGAAATCTGAAGGCTTCGACCTGAAGCTGAGCCGGCGCGCTCAGGCATGCGATATGGTCCCGCGATGTGACGAAAATACACCTGCAATGCGACTCTTGAGGAGTTGAGCACCTCAGTCCCCAGGCAAGCCTGGCAACCCCTCAAGTGTCTATCACCCTGAAAGGCTCCTGGCAAGCCCTCAATCAGCTAAAACGGACCCAAAGTCGCCTGGAGTGTACCACTGCCGCCGCCAATGATGGTGCAGGCTCCTCCTCAGGTGTCGGGCAAAGGGAGCAGCCCCGACGTTTTGCCCAGCCTGCCTTCGCCTTGACCTCCTCCGGCTCAGGCTTTGGCTGCCACCTGAGATGCCAAACATAGGGACATACGGCCAGCTGGCCAGGGGATGCCAGGTTGGAGTTGTGTGTGCTCAGTGTATCCTGGCCTTGTCAATGAATCAGGGAGACCACTTGTCACCAGTACCCCGCGATGCGGACCCGACCATCATTGGCCACCTTCAGTGGCTATTCTTTTGCCTCAGGCTCGCGCGGCCAATCGTTGGTCCTGGGCTGCGAAGCTAGGCTCGGAGGCCAAGAGGCTGGGAAGGCCAAGAGGCCAACACGAGCATGACACGACTTCAGAACTTCAGATCTGCAAACGCCGCTTGCACACCTTGCTCGGCTGAGGTGCTTCTTTTGCATAGCCCTAGCATTAGCCTAACCCTTGCACAGCCTGGCGTGCATGAAAGGAGACACTAACAAACAAAGGCTTGGGGTGGGTTTAGGGTAGGTTTAGGGTAGGTTTGGGGTAGTCTGTTTAGGATAGGCTAAGGCCCGGCATCGTTTTAACATCCTCAGCATTGTTTTCAACATCCTCAGCACCACCAGGCTTTGGTCTCCGGATGGGTTCCAGGACCCATCTGAGACAAACCCCAAGAAGCCCCACATAAACCAGCACCAAACCATCCACCTCAAGCACAACCACCCCCAAATTGGCTCTCAATAGGCCTGGAACCCATCCGGAGACCAAAGCGTGGTGGTGCTGAGGATGTTGAAAACAATGCTGAGGATGTTAAAACGATGCCGAGCCTTAACCTACCCTAAACGGACTACCCCAAACCAACCAACCAAACAACCAAACAACCAAACCCACCCACCCACCCACCCACCCACCCACCCACCCACCCAACCAACCAACCAACCAACCAACCAACCAACCAACCATAACCAACCACCTACCAGGGTTAGCCCTGTGCCAGGGCTAGGCCAAAAAAAAAACCTTTCCCACCTTGCCCTGTCGGGGGAAAAAAAATGCTGCTCTCAGGCTCGCACTTGCCGTTTGTCGCGGCCTTCCCGTACCAACCTCAGCCGGCTTCATGAAGCGTAGCGGCCTGTCTGAAGCGTCTGACTTTCAATATCTCACATATGCAACAGCTATGAACTGAACACTTTTCTTGGGCTAACAAATTCAGGTGCAGCGAAGCAGGCGAGAGCCACTTTTCGCTTAAGGCGCCAGGCCGTCACTTTCAGTGGTAGAAGGGGTGGCTGCCCTGCCACGCATGCGGCTTGTTCAGGGGACACTGGCCCGCAAACGCTTCGAGGAAGATTGGTTGGCTGGTGAAGTCATTGGCGATTTGTCTGACAACTGACAAGTCAATTTCACGGCTTGAACGATGCAGTGTACTTTAAAAGTATACCCTGCAGCAGCCTGCGAGGGACTTGCAACACTCCCAACAAGTTGGATGCATCTCCCAGTGTTCGGTCGCTGAAAAGCGCCCAAACAAACAAGCAGCCCGGACTACAACTTATCGGGGGGGCTCTACGCATCGCAACAATTTCAATATTAGTCGTAACTTAGATTGCAAGTTGTAAAAGGCTGGCCACCATGTTCATATTTCGTGACTGCCTTGCTACGGGGTGGGCCGCATTCGCGGGCTGAGGCGTGGGTTATGATTCGATAGGACGCCCCAAGTGTGGTCCGTTCGTGGAACGTGGACAAGCAGCCGCGCGAGGTAGTCAGCTGGCAGAGCCTCTTGATAACACGTGCTTCCCCACATGTTCGTAGTCAGAGGTGTCGTGGGGAAAGTCCAAAATCTGCTGATATCATTTAAACCAACTTACAAGGCCAGCACCAACCGTTGAGCCAGAAAACAAACAAACAAACCAAATAAACCGATCAAGTCGAGCAAACCAACAAAGCAAACGGACCAAACAAACCAAACAAACCACACAAACCAAACAGGCCAAACGATCCAAACGAACAAAACAAACCAAGCAAACTAAACAAACCAAGCAAATCAAACCAAACAAACCAAAACAAACAACAATACCAACAAACCAAACAAGCCAAGCAAACCAAACAAGCCAAGCAAACCAAACAAACAAAACAAACTCAGCAAACCAAACAAACTCAGCAAACCAAACAAGCCAAGCAAACCAAACAAGCCAAGCAAACCAAAGAAAAAACAATCCAATCAAGCCAAACAAGCCAAACAACCGAACACCAATAACAAACCGAACAAATTCAACAGAAATAAAAGAAAGGAAAACAAACCAAACAAACCAAACAAACAAATAGCGGCATCACCAAGAACAACAATACCTTCTTTACCTCGATGCTCTCCCGGATCTTGACCGCCCGTCTAGGCCGCCGAGCGGGGGTGGTCTTCGCGTAGGGACTGCGACAGCCAAATGCCGCGCCGATTCTCTGGGGACAAAAGCTGCAAATGCTTCCAATCGCTTCCAACGTCGCTTTAACGTGTAACAATCTTTAGCTACACGCCCAAAGAAACCCGTGAGGTCGTGGCTTCCCTCTATCTCAGCCAACCTTGTGAGGTACGTGCAGGAGTCGAATACCTGCAGGCAGGGAAATCCCAGAGATCTGGCCACACTTCTTGAGTCATGGCATCCACCGATCCCTTCAGACCTTTTCCGGATTGTCTGCTCTTGGCTGAGAGGGGCGCACCAGCCCGGATCACTCACCACGCTCACGGGCGAGGCCTTCCTGAAATGGCTTCTGTTCGTCACTTGCTTGATCTTGCTTGTGACGTGTCTCAACTCATTTCAAGAGGCACTCCTGGTGGGGCAGTCTCCCCGACGATTTTGTCCATTAAGGTTGGGAGGCTCAAAGTCCGGCCAAGAAGGCAAGGCTGCTACTTTCTTATCGTCCCCATCTTGCAGGTCACTGGTCAGGGTGCACACCAATTTTGGCATCCAAACAACCCCTGCAGGCCCCGGCACTCTTCGAACTCTTTCAGCCTTGGCTGAACTCTGACAGAGTCACACTCTGCCTTCCAAAGTGGCAGCAAATGGTAAAACGCATTGGAACCTTCACTGCGAAAGTGTGATGCCTTGCCAGTTCTGCTTAAGGTACAGTGTGGTGTGTGCAACCTGTCCAAGCAAATAGCGGATACCTTGCCTGCAAGCCACAATGGATTTATCATATTATGCCGGCGTGCAAAGGAAACTGCTGAAGAGCTTGCAGGGGCCCTACTAATGGCACTTGCCGGAATATGTGCCCATGTCAATCTCTTCAGCGGAGTCGGCAAGCGTGCATCAGGAGTGATGACAAATGGTTGAAGTACTTGTTGAGCGTGTTCATGAAAAACTTGATTTGCCTGTTTGGCTTTCCGCATCTGTCTGATCCTAGCATAGCATTTCCCTAGCTGAGTAGCTAACAAGCACACAACCCAAGTCTTTCCTCTTTCCCTTCAAGCCATGAAGGGCTGGAGTTTGGAGGTCGAATTCTTAGGAGTTCGCTGTCCCGGGTCGCGGAGCAGCGCTCGGCCGGGCCTGGCCAATGAGAGTCAGGAGACATCAGACAGATGCTCAGAATGCTCTTTGAGGCCTCCTCTTGAGGCCGTCTTTGACTCCTGGGCAAGGCTCGCCCGGTTCTAGAGAAATCCACCTTCAGCCCGTCCCAAGACCACCAGGGCACTGGGGCAGCTGCGCTGGGAGTTTCACGCCTTTGCCGTCTTCAGGACCTGAGGCGCCGTGGAAAGCTGGGACTCCACAGGCACCAGAGGGTGCAGCTGGACCAGTGTCTGACTCTGGCAGCTGTTTTGACATAGGCTTGCTGTTTGCATCTGTTTGCTGTTTCGGCCAAGAGGGTTTTGCCATGCGCCATGCATGCCTTCCGAAACAGGCCCCAAGGTCGAGCTCAATTCCGAGGCTTGTGCGCAAGGAGGCCCAGGCTGCATCCTGCTCGCCGTCTCTCAGCCGACTTGGAAGGAGTGGAAGGACTGGGAGTGACTAAGGCCCTAAAGGCAACCCCGTAATCAGGCCAGCTCTGCCGGGCTCAACTCGGACCTCGAGAGGCATCCAACTGTTACCCAACCAATCCAGCGACTTGCTGTTCAGCCGCGGTCAGCTATGTGATATGTCCGAAAGATTCTGAAAGGACCGCCCGATAGGCCGATAGGCCGCCGCGCCGAGTTCGGCCCATTGCCTCTAGCGACTGCTGCAGCTCCTCTAGCCTGCGAAAGGCAAGCTGCCAGCTCTCGTGCCTTGTGACTTTAGAATAAGAAGCATGCGGCATGTTCCGTGCAAAGACTGGATACTCGCGTCTTCCGCCAGCGTTCACAGTCATGTGTGAAGCAATGCATGCTCCGCCGTTTCCCCCAAAAAAGAAGAAAAAAGAAGAAAACAACACATCATGACATCGACGCCTCTCCAAGAAGGGCCCTTGCCAGTTGAGAGACGAGGCCTCAGGTGCATCCCTTCAGATGTCGTTGTCTGAACACTGCCAATTGCCTACATATTCCTTGCACGGCTGTGCCAACCCTGTTTGCCTTACTTTCCACACCTCAGGATGCATGCTGCTTCCGCATGCTCTTCACAGGTCAAGTATTTCAGGCGATGTCAGGGTCCACAAGCCTGAGGTTCGCGCTAGGGTATCCACATTGGAGGCCTCAGAAGGCTGAAGTCCCGCAATGGTTTCACTTCTGTCTCATGCTCTCACAAAACATGTGCGCACTCGCACACTTCACGCAACACAGATTCATCATTGCGCACATGTGCCGCATCATGTGACCTTCCACGCATCCGCACGTGCTTTCCTCTGGCCGAACTGAAGAGCGCTCGGTGCCCTGCAACACGTGAAACCTCCTGCGCCATGCGATTCCTCACCTCGGCATCCGGACCTATGCATGATCAAGGAGCCTTTTGCCCCCTCAAGGCTGCTTGCCCGACAAATCTCAGCCCAAGGCCATTGACTCGTCCTGAACACAGGACAGGATCGCCTGTCGGGTACGGGCGAGATCATGGGCGCTCAGCAGCCTAAAATGCAGTTCTGACTGGTCGGGCATGCAAGAGAATCCCATCATCAGCCCAAAAAACTCTTTCTGCAAAAGTCGGGCCCGGAGCAAAGGTGGGTTCATACAAAGGCTGGCAAGATGCGCCACATGTGGCTACATGCTAAGCGGCCAACTTCAGATCTCTCCTTGGGAGCGCAAACAGTGGGAAGCGCAACCTCTTTGTCTGATCTCACCCCGAATGGTCCTCCACGAGGGGCAGGAGCTCAGTCGAGGCGTGAAAGGCTTCGATGAGCCTTGGGCTTGCAGAACTGAATCCAAACGTGACCAAGTCTTGCACCACCCTTGAGCCCAGTTTTTCAGAGGGAACTTAAGTGCTTCTTTTGGGGGCGCGCAGGTAAGCTGGCTGGCTCCGTTTTGCCAGCTCGGTTTCTCAGTTCTTCAGTTCTTGAGCTGCTGGCTGATCTCGCAGCTCGCTGAAATCCAGGGATTGCGCCATGCGGTCCAGGAAGCTTTCCACCTCGGAGAGAGAACATGCTGAGACTTCGAAAAGATGTCTTTGTCTTGAGATCCCTTATGGTAAACCATTTGGAGAGAGACGAAGGTTGACTGAGATCTCGCATACATTGCAATGCCGACAAAGATATGCTTGGCGGGCTGGTGGGCAGGGGATAAATTACCAAACTTCCATGGCTCAAAGTGCACATCAGGGTCAGTTTGATTCACAATGAAGGTAGGATGCTGAGATAGGTGAAACAGAGCTTCAAGACCCAACGACTACACCAGAGTTGGACTGTCAGCGGCATCTATTCACTCGCTTGGTTCAGCAACTGGGAACAGTCTTGAACCGCCACACGGTGATGTCTCAGACTTGCGCCATCTGAGGAATCATCGACTGCAAAACCTCGGCTGCCAAACCGCTCGCACGCTTCCGTGACCAAAGGCTCCCAGCCTCTTGGACCATGACACCACAGCGATCGCTGATGCTGACCTGATCCGGAGACAAATCAATTGGAACACGTGAAATTCCTTGTACTTTGGATCTTCGCCCCAAGCGCGCGCGACCTGCCTCTAGCTCCTGCTGCCTCCTCATCTGTGACTCATGGCACCTGTTCGATTCGCTTTCCAGGCAAGGAGGTGATCTTTATTTCCTTTGCATATGTTGCATGGCATGCTTGAGCTGGTGGCGAAATACGGGCACACCGCTGCGAGCGCTTGCCTCGCCAGGAGCTCTTCCAGGTTCGCCATGCGCTCGTCTAAGGACATGGGGCCTAGCCCCTGGCCTAGCGGCAGCGCACAAGCCTCTTCAAAAGACTTTCATCGTCCATCTTCCTCCCCAAACGCAAGGCCCAACGGCCCACACCAAGCCCAATATCCAACAAAGCTCCCACCTTGCGAGCGATCGGCCCCGCTTTGCCAGCCACCGTTTCGTGCGAACCGCTGGGCAGCAACCTCAGAGTAACCGGCTTCTGAATTCTTAGCGCAATGGGAAGGGGCTTCCTTGCAAGCCCTGTCAAGGGACTTTGAGGACTTGCAAGAGGCTTTGGTGCATCCTGTTCACCTGTTTGCCAAGGCGCTATCTGGAGAAAACGCTTCAAATTGAAAGAAAACAAACACCTGTGCTGCTGCACATAGTGTGCTGTGGAGTCGAGTGGGGATTGAGTGACGGGTCACAGCGCCCGGGGATCGGGACCCGGACCGAGCCCGCAGAGGGCGGCCGTGGCTTCTCCCGGCGCGCGCCGAAGGCCGGCGAGGTGTCCTCCTCCTCGCTGCGCTCCTACGGGAACTGTGCCTTTGCAATAAGAAGCATATGCCAAAGATGATATCATGTATGAGTCATAAATGATATCATATATGATATCATATATGAATCATATATCATTCAAATTACTTAGTATGTGTTTAATATGTTTAATATCTGTGGTATATTTGATTCTTTCTTGAGTATCTCGAATCGCAATTCATCACACATTTCGGTCGGTATGTCAGGGCGGCATGCACGCCGCGGCGTCCCGGGCCTTCTCCGGGGGGGTGGAGACAGGGGGCACCCCGCCCATGCCGCTGTTGAAGGAGAACACACGGCCCCTGAGCATTGCCGACCGTGAGACGCCGTGAGATGTGCGTCTGCCCTCTCTGCCTCTCCAGGAATTTAGAAACTGCATTGGACTAGCTGAGAACCAAGGGTACGAAGTCGGCCCTGCCTTGGCCTGCCGTCCTGCCCGTGCATGGCCTGCGCGGCTTCTGGCTAAGACTGGGAACTGCTTTCAGGTTGTCAACAAGGCCGTGAATCAGAACTCCACAGGACGCTGGCAAGAGAGCGAGAATGGTATAGAATGACAAAGCCGAGGTCGGACTTTGGTTCACAACGCGTCGATCCAACTCACAGCGGCAGCTTTTCGAGTGCCGAGTCTCCTCAAAGGCAGCTTCCAACGCAGCCTTCTCTGCTGCCTGAGCAAGGAACACGAATCCGAGCCTCGGACTGTGCGCAAACATCGGGCATCCGGACGTCCTTCTCGCCTTTTGAGGGGTCGCGGCCGTTCATTTGCCTGCACAGGGCAAATGAAGAATATATCAAAGTATCATTGACAACTTGTGAGGGCAACAGCTGATATTCTCCACCCTCGCCCCGGGTCCTGCGCTAGAGCCAGGTGTGCTGTATTTCTGTGCGCACTTAACCGTCGCAGCTGGCAGACCTTTGAAGATGTCCAGCCTGTGAAGGTCCACAGACACTCGGAGCAATTCGATTTTGCTGATGAATTTCTGTCGGGCTTTGGGAGAGCTTGACATGGTCCGGTGTGCACTGTCACATTGCGGGCCCTATGCTTTGAGCCACTGGCAACTGCGAGGGGCGTCTTCGCGCTAAGAAATGTCCTCGCTATTGTGAACTCGGGTCATAGCTCTTGACACTCGATTGTTTTCCGAAGCTCACGACCTCATGCAGCACAAGCTGCCAAGCCTGGTGAAACTGAAACTGAGGCACACCACTGGGAAAGCGTGCCGAAAATCGCGGAAAACGAGAATGGCAATTGGCTAGCAGGCTGACTCAAATTCAAGTGGACTTTGTACATGAAGAAATCACACGTTCACACGTCAATGACGGAGCCTCCACGCCCCAGTGACACTCTGGAATCCCGAACCGGATCCAGGTCTGGTGCCAAGAGCTTGGTGTATCGATCGAAGTACAAAGCCTGTTTCACCAGCAGCGCAAACTCGCGGGGCAGCTTCAGTCCGTTCTCATCGGCCACGCGGACCACCTCCAAGAGCAAGTCGGTAACCTGCTCGCTGTCCAGAGCTACCTCGGCCACGACCTTCTCTGGCCCTCTACCCCGCAAAACGACCTCCGACTCCAGCCCGGCGATCCGGGCCAAAACGCTTGCGACGTCGTCGGCCAAGGCGGTCTCGTCCACCGTCCCCGTGGCGCCCATGGCCATCAGACTCCGCGCCATGCCGCGGGCATCGCCGGCGGCAAACGACGCAACGAGGCCCTCCACTGCAAACCAAATCTCCGACGGGATCCTGCCGACGATGCCAAAGTCGAGGAAGCCCACGCGGCCATCCTCGAGCACCAGGAGGTTCCCAGCATGCACGTCCGCATGGAAGATCTCGCAGCCCCGCACCGACATCGACCACACATTCAGCGCGTTGATGAGAGTCTGCTCTGGGTTGGAGCTATACTGGCGAATACCTTCCAGATCGGTCAGGGGAACACCGTTGAACAGTTCCATGGTCAGCACTCTTTTGGAGGAGGCCTCTGGGATTGTTCTTGGGGCGGCCGCAATGCGCTCTAGGCCGTTTCGCTGCAGGAAGCTCCGAAAAGTCTCTATGTTCTCCAACTCCTTTGTGAAGTCCAATTCATCCAGCATGCTCGACCGGATCTCTGCGACAATGTCAACCAGCGAGCTTCGGGCAAGCTCTGGACTTAGAAACTCCAGTGTGCGGGCAGCGATGAAAAGGAAGCCCAGATCCGCCTTCAGGATCTGCCCCACCCCGGGCTTCTGCACCTTCACCGCCACACGCTCGCCGCTCAGAAGCACGGCGGCATGGACCTGGGCCACGGAGGCGGAGGCCAGCGGCGTTTCCTCGAAGGACGCGAAGACGCGGCCCAGCGGCAGCCCCAGATCCGCCTCCACCACGCGCCGAATGGCGCGGAAGCCGACTGGCTCCGTGGCGTCTAAGCAGCGCTGGAACTCCCGCACATATGCAGCCGGGAACAACGTCGGGGAAGATGCGATGAACTGGCCGAGCTTGACGTAGGTGCTGCCAAGCTTCTGGAACAGCCGTCGCAGCAATCGCGCCAACGGTGCGTCATCCACACTCTGTCCACGAGCCAAGCTTTGGATCGTTTGGAGGGCCTCCTGCAGCTCGCCATCCTGCGCCGCCTCCAGGGCTGTGGCCGCTGCCGCCTGCAGTGCCTGCAGGCCCCGCACCGCGCCGGCCTCCGGCCCAGCAGACTGCACCACAGCGAGCACATCCTCCAAAAGCTGCCGTGCTTGCCTGTCCCGATCTCCGGATCCGGAAGCTGCTGAAGCTGTCGCCGCGGGAGCTGCTGTGGGCGTCCGGCCAACGCTTTGCCCGCAGAAGGCCCACGGTGCAAGCGTTAATGTCAGAAGCGCCAACCCTCGCAGCAGTCGCAGCATGGCTGAGGCATGGACCCGCAAGCCCTTCATGTGTCTGAGTTCTGGACAGCTCTCGCTGAAAGCTTCTTTTGCAGGTAGCGTACCCCACACTTTCATGATTCATTGGGAAGTAAAGAACAGCTTTTTGGTCTAGTCCCTGTGGAATCTCTAGCTTCCACCACCCTTTGCGCGCAGCCTACAAACTCTGCATTTTGGCCGCTGGCATTTCTCACGACACCTCACAGTTTCCTCAGGCAACTCAGGGAAGGTCTGGCAAAGTCTCAAAACGGTCGTGTTGTGAACTCCAGATGCAACAGGCCTAGCACCACGACGGGCCAAAAGCCGCAAGCTGAGGAATATGATGCCGAATGTAAATCCTTGTTCATATTGCATATTGCAAGAAACTGATCTGTACAAATTGCCGTTCTATTCAACAGCTGCAAACAACATCAGACCCGCCTCGCTTTCTGTCACATGCCCCCCTTCTTAGCACTTGCCCGAGTTTCTTGGCGCAAGCTGGAGCCCGTTTTGGTCCCTGACAATGTTTGCCATCTTCCTCAGAAGTTGCCTCAGCCCCAATTGCCCACAGAAAGGAGACCCTAAGCAGCGGACAGCTCTCTGCAAACCTCGGCAAAATGAAATGGTCCCGAGAAGGGCCTGCCTTCGACGGTGCGCGAGATCTCAAATCTTGCTGGCACGTCGCACTGCAAAAGTCGACGTCGTCAACAAAAGCATGTTCAGCTCTTGTTGCACTTGTTTGACTCATAACTTGGCGGTGCCTCTCTGCTAAAGCTTTGAGGCATTGAAAGTCTGATGAAACTGCAAAATGATAAGCTTTAGAATGCGGATTTCAATTGCAGTGCACATCTTGCCGGACGATGCATGTTTTTTTTTGGTTTAACGTTTGAATACTAGGGAGCGCATAGGCACGGGAGGATGTGTCACAGCAACAAGGTAGTTGGCCTAGTTGCAGTCGGCTCCATTGCTCGCTAGAGCTCACATCTACGGATAAGGCTCCGCGCATCGAAATCAGAGCCATGGCCTTCTGCTGGACAGGACCTCGTGCCAGTCGAGATGCCCGTCGAAATGTCTCTCGCAACTGAGACCGCGAGCGGGCTGCATCCAGGTACAGCATGGCCTCAACTTGGAGACGTGTCGTCTGAAGAGACTTCCTACAGTACGGCCTGCGTGAAAGAGATGAAGCTCAGGGTGAGCAGCGTGATCGAGACAGTGAACAAGAGCCTGGCCCAGCACAAGGCACCCCCCCCAAAGCCAAAGGCATTGCAGTTCAGAGATGGGTCAAGACACTGGCCTGCTGTCAGTCAGGGTCTTCTCCAGAAGGACGCCCAGCGTGACCTCGGGAATGAAACGCAGCGATCCGTATGCCACTTCCTGGGAGCCGACGGAGAGCATCGTGGGCATCAGCAAGCCCAGCAAAGAGCCGCAGATGGCATCGGCACCTGACGGATGCACATGGAGAAGGTGACAAAATGATGACAAAATGGTGACAAAATAGTGAGAAAATGGCGAGAAACTGAGACACGCGGCAAGCTGATGATGAGCCGAAGTCTTTTGCATGTGTGCAGGGCAATCTGCAGGCTTCAGTCCACGATCGTACAATTCGCATGCCACAGTAACGAAAGCTGAGAGCTCCAATGACATCACAGGGGCCACGGCCCTCAATTCCCGTCTGGACCAAGAGCATGATCGCCCTGTCGTCTGCCTGTGCTGCGCATCCATGGTGCTTCGTGTGAGGGATGATTTGGGCCCAATAAACCTGACGGACTGAGTGCCTGGTCCACTGCAATCTTGCACCGACTGCAATGCCAGTCTGGCTCCGTTAAGTCCGGATACCACGTCTGTCCAGGAATTCGAAAGTGACAAACCGACCTCTAGAGATAGACAAAGCTCCAAAAGCTTGGCTAAACTGGCGCAAACGAAACACCTGCATCAGGAAGACCAGCAGCAGCGGCAACAGCAGCGAAAGCACCGTGGAGATGCTCCTGGGACAAAGTGAAAGCATGGGCTATCCATGGCTATCCTCAAGTTCTGGCCAGGCACATGGACCACGCGGAGTCCAGGGACGATCCTCACTGCCCCTCTGTTCTGCGGAGTGTGCTGACGCCGGGGTGCACTGGGGTCCTGTCACTGGGCCTCGAGGAGAGGACGCCGTCTGAGGGCCTTTCAGGGACGGTCTGAGAGGTCTGGGTGTGCCAAAACTGCAAAGCGGTTCCGATCAAAGCGGTTCCGATCAAAGCGGTTCTTCCAACTTCTGAAGTTCCGGCACAAACTGCGTCTCGGTGCCATACTGCGTGGTCTTCGCCTCTTTCTGCCTCAGCAACATGGATTCAAAGTCCTCCCAGACTGTCGCCCAGTTGGCCCTCTCCAAATTCCATGGCCGCGGCTCTGGCAGAGGTGCCGGCAGAAACCCAAAAGCTGCCTCGGCTGAGTCTTTGTCTCACGGGCCTTGGGCACTCGCCATCAGATACACGCGACAAGAGACCGCAGAAGCTGCCACGCCAAGAATAACACCAAACAGCCGTGAGGCACAATGAGATCACTCATAGGTGCCCTTTGTGCGAAACACAAGCTGCAGCCTTTGCAATTCGCCCTTCCGCTGGAGTCCAAGCCCGTTCTAATCTGGGACGTGAGTGGCCACTCGCCATGTTTACTGTGTTATCAAGCCTAGGCCACCTAAGGGAATACCTAGGCAAGCAGCAAACCGTTGACTACTTTTCACACTGCTGTCAGTGCTCTTGAAGTCTGTAGCGGCGGAGCATGTACAAGTATACTCATGCACAGGGTTGGAACCTGAATCCACACCCCCCTCATTTGAGATTGAGCAACAACGAAAATGTCGGCAAGTTTTGCAACCCGCTTTGATTCCATACACACATCCATTGCACGTTGAAAATGGACATTACACATCCGTCGTGCATTCAAATTGCTACTCTCTCAGAAGGGCTCCGTTGTGATGACGATTGCGTTCACCACCTTCCGCTAGTAGACCAGCCGCGCGAACTCCAGGTCGACCACTGCCAACTGCTCCCGTCCTGACTGCTCCAGTCCTGATTGCCCCAATCTCTCCAGCTTCGGCTTCTGGCAGCGGAGCTGGAGGCGGGCTGAGCAGGTTGCACAGGTCCGCGGGCGCGGTCCTCGGCGCTTTGCCTTTGGCTGCGCCGTGCGAGCTTCTTCGCATCGTCCTCCGCCTGGCCGCAAATCTCCTTGACTTCAGCCTCGAGGTCCACGGCTCCGGTTGCCCGGAGCGTAGGGAACTTCCCGCCAAAGGTGACAAGATTGCGCATCCCCGGGAGGATGTTGACCTGGTCGACGAATTGATGAAGACTCAGCATTTTCCCGTTGTACGAGAATAGCCATGGAAACTCAAGCAGGCTGGCGTCATAGTCCCCGACCTTGCCGCCGGTGACGTAGACGGTCCTCACATACTGGAGACCTCGTTTTCCATAGCGTGGCCCAACCCCGAGAAGTCGTTGATCGTAACTCCGTGGAAATTCGGGGAGGACACAAAACCTATAGATAGACATCTGGTAGAGGCTGTCGCGGTTGTGCCCTTGCTCCACCATGCGAAGGGCGAAGGTCGCATCTTTGTCAAACCGATCCACCACATTGTCGTATCCAAGCTTGCGGGCCCTGCTATCGTAGTTCTTTGAAGCCTCGATCTGCTTGGCTTCAAAGGATGTTGCTCCTCTCTTTGCAACATCAGCGTAGCCCTTGAAATCATTGATGAGGAGCTGGTCAACCGTCTTGCCGACGCGGTGGCTCACCTCCTCAAGCATCTGCGTTCTCCGCTTTGCGGCTCTGAAGAGCTGAACGTCGTTGTTCTCCTTGGTGCTCCGTCCACAGCGCTGACACTTGATCTGCCCCTGCATCATGTCCTCGCCGCAGAGGCTGCAGTCCGTGTAGTGGACGGGCATCGCAAAGGTCTTGAAACGAACAACTGAGGTGTCGGCCGCGGGTTGCCCCGGGCAAGAAGCGGCCGTATCCTCATTCGTCTGCTCTTCTTCAGGATTTGTGGCCCTGTTCCCCTCCGCATCGGTCTGAAAGGCCTCGTCTGCAGTCACAGTGACGGCTCGCCTTGCGGCGAGCATATCGACAGTCGTTTTATTCTCCAATGCCTCAAGACGAAGGGCGTTCCTCCAAAGCACTTCTCCTGTCTTCGCATCTGTGTAGTACAGAATGGAGTCATTGGGAACGATGTCGTTGGTCAGCATGACATCAGACTCGGAAAGGAAAAACACCACTCCGAGCTCAATCGCATACTTGAAGTCGATCACAAGCTCAATGGGCATCGTTGCTCGGACTCCAGCATTATACGATGAGCTCTCCACCGGGTGGATGGAGAAGTGGCTCTGCGAGCGGCCACTCTCCGTGGCACCAACGCCACCCGGGACCAAACCTGTCCTGACGATGTTCTCGGCTGCGTTCTTGCTCGTGCGATGGTATAGTTTGCCAGGGCCATCATCAACCGGCGAAAGCTGCAGTCCGACCTTGCGAGCGTCCTCCGGGAGAAACTTCCCATAGATGGCCTTCGCAAGTGCGTACTGGTTCCGGCTGATGTCGCCATCAGCATCAACGCTGCTGGCGTGTCCCTGACTGGCACGAACCTTGATGACAACCCACTCCTGGTTGTTCTCGGCAGCCGAAGGGTGCTTGATCGCGAGGACGGTGTATCTGCATTTCGGATCGAGTGCAAAAATCTTCAACAGCGTTTTGTACCCGATATTGCTGCGGGTCTTTCTGTTGAATTTGTCACATAGCTGGTGGACGTCGACGAAATAGTTCTCGTCGAGGACGTTTCTCCCTTCATGAAGTTGGGCACCTTCAGGATCGTGCCCGGGAGAATCCTCGCCTCATACTCCTGGCCGCGGAAGATGACGGTTCCGCCGGGCTTGCCTGGCAACGCGCTTCCGGCAGGGGTTGCCCCCCGCACATCCGATGCCACCGCAGCAGTTGATGGTTTCGCCTGTACCTTAGGCGATGCTTTCGCGGTGAACTTGGGTGTAGCCGGAGCGGCCTTGACGCCAAGCGCGGCCTCAGCGGCACTCCCTTGCGGGAGTGCATCATCGTCATCATAGTCGATCTCCTCCTTGATTTCGACTTCCTCGATCTTTTCGAGGATGCGGCCCTTCGCGAGCTTGATCGGACGTTGAAGGCTTTCCCATGACTCAAGAGTGAGCTTCCTGTTCGCCTCATACTCGGCCAAAGTGTTCGGATTAAGTCCAGCTTCGGCGTCATGAGAATATTCAAGGTACAACCTCACGTTGTTGAAATCTTCTTTGTGGGACTCAACGACAGCGACACACTTCATGACGTTGTACAACGACCACAGCCACTCCACCGTCGTCTTCCGGTTCTCGATGGAGTCCACCATGTGGTAGTTGTCAAGCCGGTCCTGCCGAGACACCAAGAACGTCGACTCCTTCTTGCGAAGGAGCTTGTGCTTGTTGAGCGACTCATCCAACAACTTTTCCATGAACTGGTTGTAGATGGGCGGGAGCATATAGTACGAACCCTCGGTGTTGGCCAAGATCGTGATGTTTGCAATGCCCCACCAACTCCTGCACTCCTCAAGCACATCGATCGCCTTGGCGCACTTGTTGAACAGCTCGGGCCAGTGACCGTCTCCGCAACGGTATGGCCATTCGGGCTCATCGCAGATCCCACCACTGCCAACGAGCTCGTTCCCGGACCAGTACACCGTCACGTAGAAGTCGTGGTCCTTAAACTCAGGGCGCTTCTTCAAGTCCTTCATGGCGCTCTTCACTGTCCACGTGAGAAATGTGAGGTCCTTTCCCCAACACATTCTCACCTCACAGTGGCTACAACCAGTGCTGCGGTTGTAGTTCATGTCCTGCGCCAAGTCCGCCCTCTTGCGGTTCTTCTTGCCACCGCTGATGAGGGCGAGGCTGGAGTCACTCACAACGAGGTATACGCTATTCCGGCCACAGGTTGCCCCGGGCGTGATGCGGCCAAGACCTTTGTTGTTGACGGCGCAGAGCGTATCCATGAGCTCCGGCGCGTAGTCAGCCGCCCACATAGCGCATGAGCTCTGGAGGGTGGCCTGTGCTCCGAGGATCTGCTCCATTGTCTTGCGATCCTCAGGCCTCGTCTCCTGGAACAAGGTGTTCGACGTGAAGCTCGTCATCACTCCTCGCCAGTACTCCAAGTTGCCCTCCGAATACTCCCCGAGATTGTAAGCAGCCATTGCGGCTACCGGTGAGGGAAGCTTAAGAGCAACAAGTGCACGTTTTGTGGGTCTCTGAGCCGAGCTATCGGTGACAACCTGTTTCATGCTGTCAGCAAACTCAGAAAAACATCCATGGATCAGGTCAGTCATTTCATACGTGTAAGATTCAGCACGTTTGAGGGCCCCCTGGACTGTCCATGCTGATGATCCTTTGTGCACTTATACTGTTGCAGTTTGGCCAACGATTGACAGGAAGAAGCAATAGTCCATGACTTTTGCAACAAATTTCCATCCTTGTCCAGGACACCAAACATGCAACCATCGCAATTGTACTTGACCATCTCATATTTCATGAGGAAATCATGCACGAAATAGTTCTTCCAATAACTGCAAAGCTTAGGAAGTTCCATGTTGATCACAAGCACAATGTCAAGCTGTCGAAGCATAGTGATAAGTTTGTCCAAACGCTTCAGCAGTTTGCGAAACAACGCCTTGTGCTCCTGGATCTTGGCTTGACCTTCTTGAGTCTGACCATTGATATTGTTCCAGGGGCACCCACCCGTACACGGAAGTGAAGCATGAAGCATCACGCAGGGCGGTGTTTTGGACTTGACATTCTTCCTGAAAAGTTGCACCTCGTCAAATACCCATTTCAATGTATCAGCAACCAACGCATTCTGACGCTCAGTTACTCTAAGCACCTTGCAACCAAATGCTGGTAATCTTGATTTGTCGCCGAGCTTGGAATCATCAGAACAGCAAAATTCGCACAAGAACCGATCATAGGTTTCATGCGTGGAAACGGCGGAAGCTTGCGCCTCGCTAGTGGGGGCTGGTTTGATTGTAATGTTTCCATCCAACTGCACCCACCGTACTCCAATAAGATTGCACGCGTGATCCCATTTTGCTTTGCTCGTAAACGGCTTGGTCAAGATGTCCGCAACCTGATACACAGTGTTGACATTGACGAGATTGAAGAAACCTTTCGTGAATTGTTCTCGAAGCCACGCCAAAGAAGTTCTTTGAGTTCTGTCAGCATGACGAAGCTGTGCGGAATTTCCAGTCTGAATGATGTGAATTGTTGCTTGGTTGTCCTCACAAAACGCAACTTTAAACTTCTCATTCAAATGAACATTCAATCCGCGAAGAGGTGCTATCGTCCTTTCATGCTGCTCAAAACCACCATACCGAATCTCGTCCAACTCGGGGTCGACATAAACCAACACGGGATT